GTGTTTCGAAGCCCAGAGCTTGAAGTTGTAGTCGACCCCGGCGTTCACCAATGTGTTTGGCCATCAAGGGCCACAGCTCTTCTCCCTCCCCCGACGACCGGATCAAGGTGTTGATGCCTCGACGAATCACTCCCACCTCTGCCTCCGCACGCCCATTGGCCTTCCAATCGCTGCCGCTGGTGAAAGTTCTATAGATCCCTCGGGCCTCACACCATCGCCGTGAGCCAAGCATCTCCGCAGCTCCATCACTATGGACTCTCCTGACCTCCATGCCCAAGTACCTCAATCGTGCCAGCATGCGGGCGAGGGCAGCCTTCAACTCAGCTCCTTGACGGGATGCGAGGGTCTCGACCAGGGTGTAGTTCATCACGGCCACATCCTCGGCTTCCACCTCCAATCGCTTCCACTCCTCCAACGCCGCTACCTCTCCCTCTTGAACAGGACAATCCTCTCGTTCTGCTTCTGGTAGTAGGGCTTCACCTTCAACAGCTGGCGTCTCTTCCATGGCCTTCAACGCTTCCATGAGGCTTTGGGGCAATGGGACCGTGCCGTCGGCATTCTTCTTCACCGGAATAGCATAGACCCCGACGAGGAAGTACTTGGCTTTTCTCCTGAAATCCTCCCCAGGTCGAAACGGGCCGCAGATGTCCAAGCTCAGAGTCATAGCATCCGGATGGGGCACTTTTCTGTGTGGTCGACTCCGACCAGCTCCTTTGAGACAGGTAGTGCATTCCTTGGAGAAGGGAATGTGATCTTGAAGGACATGATTCTTCCACTGCTCTGACGTCATCTTGGCAACGGCTGGATCATGAAGTGAACCTCGATGGAGTCCCTGTGCGTCCAAAACCAAGAGGATGCCCTTGACCACCTCCTCCTTGAATCTTTCCGGCCACGCGGCCCATGCTCTACTTTGAGCAACCCGACTTTCGAGTGAGTCATTGATGCTCACAACTTGACCATGACTTCGGCAGTCTGTCAAACCCTCAAAGTTGGTCAGGTGGGAGATATTTGTGCCCAAAGTTGTGGGCTTTCTGCGAGAGTGCCCCAAGGCTCCCAAATCCAAGCGCACCTCCCTCAACTGGAAGCGGGATCGGAACTCATGCCATTCGGGCCAAGCAAAGAACGAGGGGTACTCATTGGTGTCATCCTTCGCTTTGTATTCCTCAGGGTCACGAGGATGTTCTTTGAGGAAAAGGACCACGCGACTTCGGGCAGCACTTGCAATAGTGTAGAGCCACAGTTGCCTCATCCAAAGAACTGCGTCGCTCCATGCAAGCTCCCTCATCGCATCCGAGAGATCATTGAGTGCAAACCTCTCGGGGCCAGTTCTTGCTCTCAGGGGCGGAGGACCCGGACGACGGAATCTCAACTTGGAAACCGTCCTGCACGGCGGGCCACCTAAGACGACATCAACCACTCCTTTCTCGCACACCTCGGCCAAGTAGCTCGCCAACTGGTCGGAGAGGAGGTCCTGGTTGCTATCCGCTGACTTGTCCACACAGATGACGGTCCGTGAATTTGAGTCCAGCCTCTTCTTCCACCAGGATTGCTCTGGGCCAGAGAACAAGTGCAGAATCACCGATGAGCTTGAAGCCACCTTCTGCCTCTGGCGACGATTGAGAGGGACGGCATCACCTGTCCAACGTCCAGTAGGAACCACTCTGGCAATGAGTTCATCAGGCACTTCAGGCCACATTTCTCGCAAGTCCTTCAGCCATTTCCAGACGTTAGGGGCGAGATCACCGGGATTTCCAGCCTTCAGCGCTGCCATCCTTCGACAGATTTCTGCCTCATGCTGCTCCAACTCGACAATGAGGTTGTTGGCCACCTTGATGTCCACAGTGGGGCATCCCGCCTCCAGCAGCACTTCAATCTTCTCGCCTGCCTGATCCCAAAGATCAAAAGAGTCTCCCTCCCATCTCACTCGGTAGCCCAGTCGCACCACCTTGCCAAGAGGCACTATGGTTTGAGTCTCAAAGTCTGTGATGAGAGTGCCTGTGGTAGCTACCTGACGAAGGGTCGTTTCTCCTGCCGCCAACTCAACCTTGATGGGGATCGCCTTGTCAAATTCATCCTTGGATTTTGCAGGCCGTAGAATGTGTGTGGCTCCACCATCAAGAAGTGCTCGAGAGGTGCCTTCAGCAGGATTCACCGATCTCATACACATGGTCTTCATTGAGGGCCGCAGAGACTTCAGCAACTGAACGGCCTCCTTCACCAAATCTTCCGAAGGAGGAATTGACGGAGAGACACCTGTCGACGTGCCCGAAGCCTCGCCAACGTGAGCTCCAACACCATCGCCAGACTTCATACCACCCTCCTTGGACTTGAGGTCTTCGCCAATCTCCTTCTTCACCTTTGGAACATCCTTCACCGGACAGTCAGGCTTAAGATGTTGTGTTGAGCCACAGGACCAGCATCGCCCTTGCTTTGACACCCCCTTCCACTCATGAGGGAATGGACATTTTTGCCCCTTCTTGCAGCCAGCATCAGACAGGAAGTAGCGACACACCGGCTTGTCGGATGAGCCACCTTTGGAGTCACCTTTGCCCTGCTTCCCATCAGACTTGTCATTCTTGGCATCTTTGGTGTCCTTGGAGCCCTTGACATCAATGGAGTCTTTATGCTTGCCTTTACCATCTTTCGACTTGCCTCCATCATCCCGATTGGCTCCCCCATCACCATCCAAAGCCTTCACCTTGATGGTGTCCTTCAGCGGCGCCATGGAGCCCCCGTGGAAAGCTGCTTCTCCTTCAGCCATGAGGCTCTCTGCAAACTGCTGGATGCCGTTCTCCGTGGGTGCCACATCAACACGCAAAGCCGCTCTTGTGACCTGCAAGCGAAATGCCACCTGAGTCGACTGCTTCGCAAGACCAGCAGCGAAACGGTCGAGAGTTGCGAGCAGCAGCACTGGGTCCGGTGGCTGAATACCCAGCTCCTGAACCCGCGTCAGCCATCTCCTCCATGCCCTCAATGATGACAACCACTCACCAAGAGGACCTGGCACCTTCTGGTCTACAAGCTGTTTCAACAGCGTTGTCCTTTCTCCCAAGCCGCCTGGCTGATAGACCCGGAGGACCTTGAAGACAATGCTCACCGAGCCAACTCCTCTCTGGGACACAAGCTCTGACCTCAGCGACTCCGGGATGGCCTTCAGCAATGCCACCGACCCCCGCTGTTCGATCCTCAACCATGGTGCCCTCTGAAAAGCAGGCGGAGTGATCGGCACCAATCTCAGCCTCTCCATTGGCTCGGAATTCAGCCAAACACGGTACAAAGCGCCCGCAACATTCAAGACCTCGTCCCACCACAAAGAAGAACTGGCTGAGATGTCGCGAAGAAAGGGACCAATGGTCGTCAACCAGTCTCCAGCAATGAGCGGCCCAATCTCCGATTCAGACAACTCCTGCAGTGCCGGGAGCTCGACCGCCCTGACCGACTCTTGTTGGGCCATGATACCGCCAAGCCATGCAGGGATCCCACCGTAAGGTCCAGCAGGATCACCACCACCACCACCACCAGGAGGACCGCCTCCAGGACCGCCTGGACCGCCGCCTGGAAACCCTCCAAAACCTCCATGATGTCCATCTGGAAAGCCTCCGCCTCCAGGAAACCCACCTGGAAATCCTCCACCACCAGGAAAGCCCCCAGGACACCCTCCTGGAAAACCACCATATGGCTGACCCCCTCCCGGAAGACCACCTCCATGATGACCACCTCCGTGATGACCACCCCCGTGATGACCATCTCCATGATGACCACCTCCGTTCTGGCTAGGCGAACCCCCGGAAGAATGCCCTCCACGTTGACCTCCTGCTGACTGATCTCCTGGCTGATTGGTGCCCGAACCTCCGGTCGCTGTCTCACGCGGACCAGAAGCACTTGGAGCCGTGTTCAACTCCTGACGATCCGGTTGGCCAGAAAGACCTTGTCCCGCACCTGGATGCCCGCAACCAGCGCCACCCAGGAACTCCCCAGACACATAGCCCTTCTGCCCTCGTCCACCCATGGACCCACCATCAGGAGCTTGACCACTAAACCCTTGACGTGACAAAGTCCGTGTGGCTTCAACCATACCCGGAAATAGAGAGTGCATGACCTCACCCGACGTGGATGAGACCTTGTTGAAAACATCCAACAAACTTGCCTTTGGACCGCCCAGCTGCCGGTGGAAATCTCCCTGATCACTTGGAAGACCATGGACCGAACCTCGCCCTCCGCCATCTCGACCATGCGTCAGCGGCCCCAGCAAGCCCTTATTGCTGCCAGCGCTATGGGACACCCAGGTAGCCCTCATTGACTCGAGCAATGACCCCATGATGTTTCTTTCCCTTGTCGAACCTTCGGACATCCCAGGCATCCAGGGTTGATGACCAGGGTATTGACCATACATCCCCCAGTTGGGACCCATGTGCCCTGTGGACCACTCCCGTTCCTGCCACAAACGGGCGTTTTCGGACAAGAGGCCCTGAATGAGCGCTCGAACTGCCTCCGTGCATTCTTTTGGTGGTGACATGCCAGGATCTGGAATGAGCTCCGAGGAATCCTGCGAGGGGAGATCTGCCGGCCGCAGTGCTCTCAACACCGCCTCATCCTGAAGGCGCTCGGACCAGAACGGGTTCCAAGGTGCCTCAGGACCTAGGGTCTGAGGTGGTCCTTTTGGGAGGGCCATCACCCCATCTTTTGGGCCCACGTCCTCGATGGCCCTTAGGCCGTTTGACTCCGGAGTCTTTTCCGAAGTTGCCCCTTCCGACATGGCTCAAAGTCAGAAAAAACCGGAACCCACAATGCCTAGCGCAAAGTTGGGCTCATAACCTTCGCCGCTCTAAGAACAAGCTGGTTGTTTTCTCGCACACAAAAGGGCTACGGTTCAAGCCCTCAAGTACATCTATGTTCAACTCTCATGAAATGCCGTGCCAATCTTCAAGCTATAAGAATGTTCAAGATGAGTGTCAGTGACCCAACCTGCACCACCGCTCTTGACTCGCGCCATCTCCCGCCTGCCGACACTGCTGCAACGTGTCCAGAGCGCCCTGCGCGTCGCGTGCCGCTGCGAAGGCGGAGAGCAAGGCACCTCGAAAGCGATGTGCTGCGACCGGTGCGAACGGTGCGGTAAGTTCTTCATTCTGAAGCACGGCATGCACACAGCATGCATGCACTCCCCGAAATCTGGAAGTGGAGTTCACTGCCCACCTGTTTGGTATTGGGAGAAATTCATCACCACCCAGGGCTCTGCCATCCACATCGAGTCTTCCAAAAAGTGCCAACTCTTTTTGAGATCCTGTTTCAAAACCGCATGGTTTTCACCATGGTTCCACCAAGGTTCACCCTCCGTGCGGGTTTCGGTGTTCGAGCCACCATAGCTGACCACGTCCATCTGCAGCTCATTGGCTCTCATCGATTCCACCAAGGTCGTCGCTTCCTCCGTTTGCCCTGGCGGGATTCGATTCTTCAGAGCGAGCAAAGCCGAACGAACGACACGAAGGTAGCAACGAAGGCATTGAAGGTATTGGATGAAGGTATCGGTATTGGACATCTGAAGGAAGCCTTCTTTCAATACCTTCAGGAGTGCAATGGGGAGGACAATACCTTCATGCAGCTTCATGGAGTGAGTTCATGGGTGAGTTCATGGAGTCCAAGGGGGGAGGACATCAGCTTTTCGTGAGTTCATGGATTGGTTGTTGCGTCACTGCTCACCCAACACATCCGATTCCAAAGGTTCATCAAACATCCTCGCTATAGCTGGATGGAAACACTTCCATTACCAGGAGTCACGTTCGACGGGGTGCTGAACTTGGAGGATGGCGGTGCCCATGATCCACTCACTTAGATGACTCCTGGTACTAATGTCTTGTTGAAAGATTGTGCCTTTCAACACCCCTTGGAAAATGAATAAAATGCTTCGATGGAATTCGGCTTTGCAAGACGCTGCACCTGGGCCTAGACTATAGGCACTGTGCGCACATGGAAATGGAAAATCCTCGGAGAAAGATATCAAGAAGCTCTCAATATCTTTTGAATGGCTGAAGTGGGATGCCTCACATTGGCCCTCTGGATCTGAATGTTCTTCCCCAGGTGAATGGCAGAAACACAGCGACCGAAAAATACGACCCACAATGTATAGACTCTTGACCAATAATGTCCCCTCGTTGTGATTAAAGCCTCTTCAAAATGCGGGATGTGATAATTATGATCAACAGTCTATACATTACACTCCAGAAAAACTGGACCTTTTTCCCTAAATTGAACCCCAAAATTCCACCCTCCCCAGCCGAAGCCGAGGAGCCTTTTTTGGCGAAGGCGCTGAGGAGAGAGGTGTAGGAGACGAGATTCCTCGGCATGGAGGGCCAGGGGCATATTTTTTTGTGAGCGGCCCAACAATCAGAGCAGCAAGCAGAGCGCAACGCAAAGATCCTGATCTAATTGTTTTGTTGCAAACCTGAATCCGCTCAGCCCCTCTTGCCTCCGTTCCCCATGGTCTGACGGAAGCTTGGCGTAATTTTTTCTGGTTTCCAGCAGGTTTTTTGATCTTGTCTCTCAGGCAAGGATTGTATAAATGTTGTATGATTTTGTTATTGAAATGATACCTTCAAGAGCAGTTTGAGACTCCGCTTAGCAGCGTAAGTACTAAAACCACCAGACGAACCGCCACATCACACCACGAACCGCCCGCTTCAAAACACCAAGACTCGGCTCCAACTGCTTCTCACCTGAGGCAGTTTGCAGGGGTCAGAGGCATCTGCAACTTCAAGCGTGTTCCGAACCATGTGTCGACCACAGAGCTTCGAAAACTGCCAATCACAGCTACGCTCCCGGGAACGTTGGTCTTGGCTGTCTGCCCGAGGCCTTGCACTAGGTCATAGACTGCCCAAGCATCCGTCCATAGAACTGAAAAGGGTGAAGCAAGAACAAAAGCAAAAGAACACGAGTTGAGCACGGTGGAATAAACCATCTAGTAAAGCAACAAGATCTGGAATGGACATCAGCGTGCCAAGCTCCAGGACTATAACTGCATTGAGAGTCAAGAACAATCGCCACGATGGTACCACACTATGGGCTGAATGGAAGGAAATGAGTCATCGCTTGGGCTTCGAGCGCCGTCGCTTGGCGGACCCGTGGGCCCTGGCGTCTTTTGGGGGGCCAAGACCAAGAAACATCAGCAATCCAGATGAAAAAATACCTGACCGCAACAGAAAGATCCTTGTTGAGTATGCATGTGGCCCTGGCTGTTCTATGTCATAGACAAATCCTCTGGGATGGCCAGCATTTTCTGAATGTGGCCTCAGGATGGCAAATAACTTCATTGAGTTTGGATCTATATAGGATGTCGTGCTTCATCGCCTATCTGCTTCTGATTAGGTCGATCTCAAGAAATCGTTTGATAAACGTTGAGTGCCATACCATATCAACAATGAACACCTACTCTCGTAAAAAAAAGTTGGTCTCACGCCCAAGCATCATCAAGTTGGATCAATGTATATTATCCTTGGAAGTTGTCCTCCAAAAAGGCTTGAAACATGCTTAAAGCAAAAGACTGACTTACACTGTTACAATACTGATACACAATCATCACGCACACATTTATAATCAAGTAGATAGAAAATGTGCAAACACAATTGATTGGAACAGTGGTATAGGCTTCCCATCTATATACCTATAATTGCATGTGTGCACATATTGTTATAGATTAAGGAGTTTATAACAAAATAAGCACAATTAAGCACACAATAGCACACATCAAGTCACATAGAGTATAGAAGAAAGCCACCTTTTCATCACGTCCAGACGTTCAGACGTTCGAGGTGGGAAAGATTCAACGGGATCTCTTTGGAAAAAAAGTCTTTGTACCAAGCGCTTGCAGGAAACCTGCATGGTCCAAAGTCTTCCCAAGAGCTTCATCAAATGCAGGACATGTGCAGGGACCACCAGGGAAGTGCTTGTGCCCGAGGCTAGTTCCTAGTCGACTTCACAAAACATGCTGCCATATCCTCACGTGGTTCAAGCACTAAATCAATCAACATCCGGAGCATGGTGCATGGATACTCCCTAGGGATCCACATACCTTCTCAGAAGGTACTTGGACCCTCCAATCACCTTCTCAGAGGGTATGTAGATCCCGATGGGGACTATTCCTCCACGATGCCTCGCAAGATCCAAGTACCCAGGTACTCACCCATCCCAGATTTCTGCCAACGTTTTCCTTCAGCTATTTTTAAAGCTGTGCACGATGTGTCGCATGCTTTGCGAAACGGTCAGAGATAAAGACATGTAAAAGCATGTTTAACAACATGATAATAAAACAATAGGAAGGCATGGTAAACAACATAAACAACATATGCCTGCATGCTTCATCTTTCTTGCTTCACTTGCCCAGTGGCTCATCTGTGCGAGGGTCTCTCGAGCTTCCTCCAATCGCTCTGCCTTCACGAGGGCCTTCATCAACACCTAGTCACGTCTGTCTTCGTCCGAAAAACGGTGTCTGAGTCGATCGCCCAGGGCGTTTGTCCAAATATCTGAACTCATGTTCAGCTAAGGCCACCAAATGGTGACCAACCAGTGGACTTCCAAAGAACCGTTATACCCACACCATCTAACACGTAGCCTAAGGCTCTACACTCCCATTAGTGTTCCTGAAACACCTTCCTTCAAGCATTCCAAACTTGCACCACATATCACCCACACCTGCCGCAAAAGGAACGTCAACACGCACAAAACCCGCGCCGTGTAGCTCACGATGTTGCCCTCGATTTGCGCCAGCAGCGTTTGGAGCTTTGCCACTTCTCCACGCCGGGCATAGAGGTCCTGTGTGGTGTCGCAGATCTGCTGCGAACGCAGGGTGATTTGCTGCGAACCGAGCCAGTGTCAGACAATGGGATGGACCCCTGTTGCCACATATTAGAAAAGAAAGCAGACATGTATCCCACCCATGCTCAAAACCTTGAGCTGGGTTCATGTTGAGGAACAAACACGACCATAAGATACCATAAGGGGAAAAAGACCTTGTCCAGCACATGTTGCTTTCGTACCCGGCTGGGAGCTCATCGAATACCTCCGTGTCAATTTTGGTTCTGACGGTATGTTTTGCACATGGCCCACACTCGAAGTACCTGCTCAAGCGAACTGGAACATCCTCCTGTCACTGTGGTTGGCTCAATCTCATTGATTGTGGTTGAAATCCTTCTTTAAAGTGGGCGATGTCCCATCCATCACCGGATGTTAATAAAAGTGCTTCTTCATCCTTGTGGGATTTGCTTACTCCAGCCACCACTTCAGAGTACCAACGTTCCCAAACTAAAAAGATCTGCCAGCATCACTCGGGAACAACGTCCATGTTGGCTCCAACCTGGCGAATTCTCACCCAGACCCTCCATGTATGACATCGATTGACCACATCATACCGCAAAAAAACACACGGACACCAGGGGGTCAACCGGACCGTCAAGGAATCGCTGGGAATCGCCCTCCCATCGCTCCAGGACAGGTGTGTAGCACACCGCATCGGGCACCAGCATGGATCTCCTCATCGCCGCCAGCGTCTCCTCCGCCTCGCGGCCGCGGCCGCGCCGTGCGAGGGCGCCTTGGGAAGTCGCTCGTGCGACCCTGGCAGGGACAAGGAGGATCAGATGTTTGGGCTAAAATGGGCCCTAAAGGTCCAGTACCCAGGTCCAAACCTGGTGATTAAAACCATTTAAAACCTGATGTGAGTATAGTGTTTGATGAACTTCAGAATGAGGACTGAACTGTTTGGAGAGTGGACGTGCATTCCCAGGGAATGCAAGTGTGGCGAAAATGGGTGCCCCACCATGATGGCCAGACAAAGCTATTTTCTGGATGCTGCGTTTGTGGCGGAGATGGAAGGATGCTAAACGTTGAACTGCAACAGTGTCAAAATTTGGCGCATTGTAATCAGAATATCTCTTATACATAAGGAGTCACTTGCCCATGAAGAAGCTTATACCTGACAGATCAAGGCTTTGAACGCATCACCATTCGTGGTGCTTGCGTTTCCATCGCCACTGCAACAATTTGGAATTAGGATGGATTAGGTGAAACCATTGTGGGGAAGCACCATGTCGGATGAACCCACCTCAAAAACCTAAAAAAGGCGCCACATTGCTCAGTGCCATAATTGCTCACCTGCCACGGCCCATGACCAGCAACATCTAAACTCCTCACGGCCGGTGACCCTACCCACCTCCGATGTGATCCTCTTACCTTCTCCCGCTCGGTGCGGACCCCTGAGACGGGATCGAGTGGCTGATGAGCGTCGAGAAGGTGATCAAGTCCGCTTGGAGCTGTCGCTCGCCTGAAGTGAGGTTGAAGGTGTCGCAGCTCGCCCGTGTTTCACCGGGGTGAAGTGACCGGAAGTGACCAGAGGACGTGGATTTGGGAACAAATCGATGGGTGCGTGATGGTGCGTGGTTTGTTTGGTCTCTTCCACAATGTCTGCGAACAGCAGTGCTTTCCAGAAGGATCATGGGTTTGCGAAGAGTGGGAATTCCACAAAGCAAGCAAGGGTGGAGTCCACCAGATTCAGGAGAGTGTTCAAGACCTACCAGTCCCAACACAAGGACACAAGGCTCTGAACAGAACTTGGTCATATTATATTGCAGTGTTTGGGGAGATCAGCAGAGAGAAGATCTCCAGATCTGAATGAAGAGATCTCCAGGAAGACGCATGCCACTAATACAATCAGACATGATTCACTAGAAAAGCCATATAGATTCTAGATGTAACTTTAGCTGGTCCCTTTTTGACTCGTTTCTACCAGCTCGCTGCTTCGCATGCGCTTCGACCGCTGGAGCTGCGATCGCCAAGGGGCCCAGCTGCGCGAACAGCCCAGGCACCTCGTGGGCGGCACTGGCCTCGCAGCATCGACCGTCCCGGCTGGTCACCCGGCTCGCTGGGCGGATTCCAGTGGATTTCCCAAAAATCGCCCCAAAATCAAAACCCTAGGGCTCCAGTCGTACCTTCTGAGAAGGTGGGACTGAGGTGGGTGCCAGGAGGGTCCAGTCATACCGAACCTGAGGAGGCACGACTGGAGCCCTACAGTAGGGATCGGAACCCGGGGCTTTTCGTCGAACTGATCGGTTTGAGTCGAACTGGAACGACGACTGACGACTCTCAGTCGCTCGCTCGCGACATCGTGGGAACTGCCTGCCTGGATGGTTTGGGCATTGGGGATGTTTTTCCAGGACCTGTTTCACCAATGTCAGATCACAGAATGAGGTGACGGAGTCCCTGAGACAGTCAGGAAAAGAAAATTCAAGTCACGTGGCTCCTGGCGAAGCCTCCGGAGGGAGGCTATGCACGGCCACTTGACGAGGGTCATGTTCTGCACGAAGAAGCTGCACGAAGGCAGATGAATCCCATGATCACCAAGGAATCGCCTTGTTTAAATGTCCAGTGTATTCAAGGCTTCAGAGAGCTTCCATCTTGCTGACCAAAGGGGTTTAAAAAATCGCGGCCGTGTTTTGGAGAAAAAAACTCCAAGATGTGGGTGTCAGTCAGTAGGTGTGCGTTAAAATAGGGAGTTTTTGCAGGAAACCTCCTGGAAGGGTGGGACAAATAGACCAGTCCACCCAGCGACCGGGGTGAGAATTTGTAAGGAGCCATGCCATTGGCTTCCCGTTGGCTTCGTATGTTTACCCACAAACAGAAACAGCTTCATCCCAAGAAATCACTTGTAGGAAAAGACACAAAAAAACTGAAAACCTCGATACCCATGAATCCTGAACCCTTGCAGGGCCCAGAAATTCCACCATGAGAAGGAATCTCTATAGTCTATGGCTGAATAGCATGCTTTAGCCTTTAAACCGCCAGACAGCCTGGCATCCACTGTTTCTTCCCTCCATCCGTCCCCACAATTCGTCCCCACACGTTCTATCGGACCTTCATGGCCGCGCAGTAGCTTACCACATCCGGCGACACCCGGCAGCATTCCATCTCCAACAGCAGCCCACGCGCGGCCGAGCCTGCCTGGCCCGCTGCATAGGCCTCCACGGTGAAGGCCGGCTTCCATTACCAGTAGAGGGACTATAAAACATATGACAGCCTGCATGGTGCTGTTTGCAAAGAGGTCTCTTCCGATGGTCAATGGTCATAAAGATCAAAGTCCTCGCTTAAAGTTTGCGTATCATCTACTTCTGAATCAACGTCCTCTTGTCCGCAGGTGATCGGGCCGCAGCGTTTAAGGGCCGGACATGGCCGGACATCGATTTCGTGCCGGTGGGCCTAGTTCCATCGTTTCCCAAACTCACCGCTCCAAAAGATCCTGCTCCTTCCACGTCGTTCCGCTGTCCTTTCATACGCAAAATTCCATCTTCCTTGAGGGGTTGGAGATGAAAAGCCTGCGACGACCCAATGAGTTCCGGACCTGACCACGACGACTCTGCTTTGATGACCTTCTTTAGTTTCTTCTTGTTAGGTTACTTCCAAACTTGGAACTTGCAAAGCGACCAAATTCTGCACGCACAGCAAGCCCCGACGACCTCTCAACAATGAACCTGCTCAGTCAGCCCAGTTCCTTCTCAACCCCAGACCATGGGTTTCATTTCATCACTCGATATGAATCCATCAACTCCTTGAACTGCCCTCAAAAAAGAACTCACCCATGTGGTGCAGCATCCCTCCTGAAAAACCTCCTTTAAAACCAACTCTTTCTCAGTTTTTCAAAAGAACAAACAAACAGGTACATAAGGGAACCACGCCTTCATCAAGGTGTTGTAAGCAATCAAGTCAGGCTCCAGCTCGTCGTTTCTCAGAAGCGGTAGCTGGCCCCAACATGCACAAACCTGTAGATCTACTTCGACCAGAATGTTTTTCCTTGAAGAGAATGTTGAGATGTCTCTCACGAACACTGGTGTAGACAGTTTGTGTGTTGAAAATGATGAAAGATGTTGAAGGTGAGGAATGAACACTCTCTTTCAAGTGTGTCTTGGTGCGAGTCCCGATCCGGAGAACGTCCCGGAGAATGTGATTCGGGATTCCGAATCCCGAATCCCGAATC